GGCGGCTAGAGGTTCTACCATGCAGGAACCTATGCGTGAGAGCGCGTCCGCTACGATGTTCTCAGCGCCGTGAATGTGCCGGATGTCATTCGTGAGCTCGGAGACGCTGGACATTTGCCGGAGCTCTCTTGGTGAATCGTTCCCCCCACCTGGTTTCAAAGACTGGAACGCGTGGACGAGAGGCTTGTGGTCCGTCCATATAAAAATATTGTCGTCCTTCCACCATGTGCTGGAAGTGTCGTAGGGCCAGATACACACCAAGAAGTTCACGACCGAATGTACTACAGCGCTGTTCCGTCGGTGTCAACTTCCGGGAGAAGAAGAAAAGTGGCTGCCAATGTCCGTTCACTTCCTCCTGCAGCACCGCACCAATAGCGATATCCGATGCGTCGGTGACAACTGAGAGTGGAGTACGCTCTTTTGGGTGTGAAAGCATTGTGTTAGTTTCAAGGAGTTGACGGGCACTATCAAATGCCGATGTGGTGCATTCGTCCCATGTGAGCTCGGTGGATGAGCTACTCCTGCCAGAGAGCATGCTGTGCAGCGGCACGAGCTTGGCGGCGCAGCCCGGGAGAAACTGGCGGTAAAAGTTTACCAAACCAAGAAACTCCCGGAGTTGCTTCTTCGACGACGGCTTCGGGAACTCTTGAATAGCTTGTATCTTGATGGAGAGTGGACGGATTCCGGAAGAGTTTATCGTGTGCCCCACAAAGTCGAGTTCCGTCTTGCCTAGGGCGCACTTGCTCACATTGACGACAAGCCCGTACTCGACGAGGCGGGCGAACAACAGTCTGAGGTGTGCGACGTGCTCTTCGGCAGGTGTGCTTTCCACGAGTATATCGTCAATGTAAACATAACAAAAAGGCAGGCCCCGCAACAACTGGTCCATGAATCGCTGGAACGTTTGCGCAGCGTTCTTCAACCCAAAGGGCATCCGGAGGAACTCGAACAATCCAAAGGGCGCGGTAACGGCTGTCTTAGGTATGTCCGAGGGCTCGACGGGGATCTGGTGGTACGCGCGTACCAAGTCGATCTTCGAAAACATGGTAGTGCCATCGAGCGCTCCGGTGAAGTCATGGATGTGCGGGATGGGGTAACGGTCGTCTGATGTAATGCGATTGAGGGCTCTGTAATCTCCACATGGGCGCCAGTTCCCGGGGGTGGACTTGGGGACCATGTGGAGAGGCGAGGACCAGGAGCTCTCTGACTGGCGGACAATGCCCAGCTCGAGCATGTGCTCGAATTCTTGTCGGGCTATTCGTAGCTTGTCCGGTGGCAGTCGGCGTGGGCGCACGTGAACAGGCGCCCCTGTAGTCTGAATGTGGTGTGTAACATTGTGTTTGACGGGGCGCTCGTCCAAGCTTACACTCGTCAACTCCGGGAACTCAGTGAGGAGACTGGAGTACGGCGTCTCATCCGCTGTAACCGCGAACGTGAGGCTGATGGATGCTAGGGACGAGGCAATGCCTTGCACTGTCAGACTAGTTGTTTTGTCGCGGAGGCGTCTGCTCTTGACGTCCACCAGGAGTGCGAAATGCTTCAGAAAGTCAGCCCCAATAATCGCGCGGGGAACATCCGCACATACGAAGACCCAGCGAAATGTGCGCCGCAATCCTAAGTCCAGTGTCAGTGAGCGCTCACCGTGCGTTGCAATGGCCGTGTTGTTGACGGCCCGGAGCTGTGACGTGCTGGGGAGCCGGCGCTCTTCCGCGGTTGCTGGGATCACGCTGATTTCTGCTCCGGTGTCTATCAGGAAACGAAGACCAGTGATGCGGTCAGACACAAAGAACAAAGTTCGGCGGCTGTCTTCGTTGGCGGGAGCACTGGCCACCGTCAATGCTCTGCTGTGCCGTTTTTCCGCTCGTGAAGAGGGCGGCTAACACTTGCGAGCAGCGGGACCGAACCGCTGGTGGTACCAACATTCCCCCGAGTTGGTGCGAGACGATGAGCGAGGCCTGCGCCGTGGTTGTTCCCGTGGCGTGCTGCGTCTGCCGGGAACCTGGAGTTTCGCCATCATGTCGGCGAGACGACGGACTTCCGCTCGCAGCTCGCCCAGCTCGTCCGGAGTGCTTCTGCCCTGGACCGCTGAGATGGTTGTTGGTGCTGCCGAGACCTCTATGATTTTATCAGCCAGATCGGCGATCTTGGCGAGGCCAATGTCCCCTGCGGACGCGAGGACCATTCGCACATTGCTTGGCAACCGCTGTAGGAACAACTCGCGGTGCAGCGACTGGTCAATAGTCGTCGCCTTTTCGCCTAGTAGCTGCTCCAGTCGGCGAAGCAGCTGGGTGGGGGTGCGGTCGCCCAGTTCCTCTGCTGTTAATAGTTTCCGGAGCCGCTTTTCCTCGGAAGCGCTTGTCCGACGAATAAGCTGAGCCTTGAGGGTGTTATATGCGTCCTCCGCTGGCGGTGAAATTAGGAGGTCCCGCACCTCTGTGGCGATGGCAGGTGATAGGCTTGACACGACATGGTGGAACTTCGACATGTCCGCTGTGATGCGCCGAGTCGCAAACTGGGACTCAACCTGCACAAACCACAGCACCGGGTCCGCCGGCCAGAAAGGAGGCAGCTTCAAGGTGACTGTAGAGATGCCAGAGGAAGTTGTCGCGTCGTTGTCCGTCATGACAAGGCTGGTTCCGTTGGTTGCGTTGCAGTTCAAAACCCGGGTCACCACTATGGCTTTCCCGACCGCTCTCGTGAGCGCGTCGGGTATGGACCAACAGACGCGGGAAACCTAACTAAAATACTTTACTCTGCAAGGAACCAGAGCGTGGGCATGGGCAGTCATGCGGAACTCGCAGTGCCGTCTCTTCACCGTCAGGCCGGTCGTTCTTCTATATCTCGCGCAGGGCTGCCTCGAGCTCGGGTCCCTCGTCGTCCTTCTCTTCCTTTTTCTGAAGAATGCAGACATTTCAGAGCATGGTGTCTTGGAAGGCTCTGGTGGTCCTACAGGGACGCACCACCACAAAGTATTTAATGTTTCTCCCAAAGAATAAATTTGCTGTCGAACCAGCATTAAAGCCTGTGTAAGTTTTCTTTTATCTTTTTTATTATTAATATTGCAGGTAGGGAGGTGTTTTGCCTTCGTGCGGGTATCGTTTTTTGGTGTTGTTGCCGTTGTCTATACTATTATTGTATTACAATTTTTGTTACTGATTGTAAACTTTTCAGTTTACAATGTTTTAATTTTGAAAAATTATAATATACTTGGCGTTAACTGGGATTTGGCCAAGTCCGGTATGAATCGGAGTTCTGGATGTGAACAGGAATTACTCAATTTGAGGAGATTTAACGGCCTTCATCGAATTAACCATGCTGTAAATGCTGTCGGTAATGCACTTGGTTTGTGCATTACCGACGCCAGAGCGGACTCCAAGGCCGTTGTTCCCTATTTAGTCGTTCCTGCTAACGGTCTTCCCTTCGTTTACTATTGGGTCAAGCACGCAGACTCCGGTGTTGATTATGCTCCTGCTCAGACTTGTACGCAATTCGTTACAAGTAACGAAATTACTTCTAATCCCTTACATTTATCGGGAATTTAGTAACGGACTAATTACTTATTTTCTAGGGTAATTTCAAAGTAATTCCCCTACATTTTTTTTGCGATACGGATTCCTTGTCGTTTTCAGGACTAGCCCCCCCCCCTCTCTCCCTCCTTTAAGGAAAAGGTCATTTCATTTTGGTAAAGTTGAGAGCAGTGACACTGTCAAGCGAAATAACCAGCGCAAAGGGAGGCTGGCACTCTTCAGTTCCGCTAAACCTTTTTTTGCAACACCTAGTCCGTGAATCTATATTTTAGACCCTAACAACAATGTCAAAAGATAAAAAAAAATTATTGTGCAAGAAAAAGGAGGGGGGAGATTTATATCCGCTTTTTTATTGTCTGTTTTTTTTCGGGGGGGGGGGGGGGGGTCGAAGGCGGGGAGACGAAGACACCAAGTGATTGTATGCCTCTTCGAGAAGCTGAAGGCGGTAAGTGCACAGAGAAGAATTAACAATGTCCTTCTCGGTTATAGTCTCTAGGACTATTTACGTGATGTAAAAACACGAGAAAACGCTCCGTCTACCCTAAAATCCACTAAAAAAGATGTGATAATATGTGAAGGTTTTATTGCTCCAAGCATCCTCGTTTGTCGATACACACTTACCATATTCTCTTAGAAAACAGGAAGTATTTATTTCTGCTTCTTTCATCTTATTCAACCGTGTTTACAACTCTACTTACTTTTTTATAGTCCAACTTCTAGGGTTAGCCCACTTTATTTGTGAATTCCAGCCAGGTTATCTGCGTCTTAGTCACCCTTTTCGTGAGTCAGCTTTTTGCAAGCACTTCCAAAATGGTAATAGTCTACCTGTTTTCTTCTTCCTCTTTTTACCCCAATAGGACGTTTCTTATCTCAAGCAGATATTGTTACAAATAAAAGATAATGGTGGCTGACGTAGACTTGATATTCTGGGCTTGAGGAGAGAGTGAAACTCGTGAGCGCGGCCATAGCGCAACTTAGTTCTCTGCCCTTCGCTGCCCGTGGCATCAGCGGACGTCTATCTCGAGAACACCGGTGTAGACTGCAGTCGGTCCGTGCTTCGTGCGTTTTTGAACGGCACCAAGAAAGGTACACATGGCAAACGTGCGTTTATATTTTCTAGTTTTAACCAACGTTCTAATTAATTGTTCTTATGAGTGTCCTCTTTTTTTTCTTGATTATTTATATTTAAATATTGGAATCTTTTACTTATTCCCAAACGTCTCAATCGAGGCTTGGCCTGTTCAGAACCAAAGGGAGAAGAATATTGAGCCAAACCTTATTTATTATTTAATTATCCTTTAACTGTTACCAACTCTACTAAAACTCTCGAATATCAGGCAAAAGAGTGGGCACGGGAGCAGCGCGACGGCCGCAATGGCTTACAAACCTTGTTTCTTCGTACCTCAGGTCCTACTACCACTCCTGGCTTACTGCGCATCCCGGTATGATGGTTTCGCCTTCGACTTCATCACCATGGATTCGCTGCCGCAAGTTCCAGTCGGCGATTCCCGCCGACATGATGACGTAAAGCAGGCCACCTGGATCTACGATTCGCCTCGCTTCATCAAAGAAAACCCATCAACATCGACGACGCCCGCAGCGCCAGATGTAAAAGGCTGGCAGTTCAGTGAATTCTCCAGTGGGCACGGGAGCAGCGCGACGGCCGCAATGGCTTACAAACCTTGTTTCTTCGTACCTCAGGTCCTACTACCACTCCTGGCTTACTGCGCGTCCCGGTATAATGGTTTCGCCTTCGACTTCATCACCATGGATTCGCTGCCGCAAGTTCCAGTCGGCGATTCCCGCCGACATGATGACGTAAAGCAGGCCACCTGGATCTACGATTCGCCTCGCTTCATCAAAGAAAACCCATCGACATCGACGACGCCCGCAGCGCCAGATGTAAAAGGCTGGCAGTTCAGTGAATTCTCCAGTGGGCACGGGAGCAGCGCGACGGCCGCAATGGCTTACAAACCTTGTTTCTTCGTACCTCAGGTGGGTATCCACATTCCTTTGAACCTAAAAAACAAAAACAAACGTTTGCTATTGCTGTTCCCGAGCCCACGGGTGTTTCTTAGTGTGATATTGGAGTACTTGAAAAATTGTCTTCTTTTATTGATGTCGGGTGACGTAGAGTCCAATCCCGGCCCTTTCACACGAACCACGTCGTCACAGTCCACCAAAGGAAAAACTAGCCAGCCCATGGTTAGTATGACAGAAGATAATACTGAGGGAGCGGTTGCACTGACCCAGGCAGAGCAAAACATAGAAATTTTGCGCATGTTGCGCGATCTTCAAAAGCAATCGGCTGAAATAGCAACAGGTAATCAGGAATTAAAACAAAGCATCACTGAAATTAGAAACGGTCAACAAAACATTGAATCTACGCTTACAAATATAGGCGGTAGATTAACAGCTGTCGAAGAGAAGCTAGAGGTGCTAGATAGTGTTGAAGTTGATTTGCGGAATACTTCCAACACGGTAGAAGGTCTTCAAAGACAAAACCAATTATTGCAGACTCGTATTAACGAACTAGAGGACAGGTCACGGCGTGACAATTTGATTTTCCACGGAATTCCTGATATTCAGGAAACATGGCCACAAACAGAAGAAAAGGTATCAAACTTGTTGTCCAACTGGCTTGGTATTCAGCTAGCCTCGGTTGATATCGAACGCGCTCACCGTTTAGGAAAATTTTCCGGCTCAAGGTGCCGCCCCGTAATAATAAAATTTTCTAGTTTTAAAACTAAAGAAAAGGTACTTCAGGCCAAAGCTAAACTGAAAGAACACGACGTGAGTGTAACTGAGGATTTTTCACCCGCGACGCGCGAAGTACGGAGGAAGCTGACCGAATTTGCCAAAACGATGCCTAACAGTCCCTCCTTCCAGCTGAAATACAACAAACTGTCCGTTGATGGAAAATTATACACGTACGACCCTGTCTCCGATAAAATTTGTGAGTCACGACTTCCGATATCACAATCAGCTACTACCGATACACCAACAACTGTGCCCTCGGGACAACACGCTGCGTCATCCAGGCAACGTGATACGTCAGACACGTAGGGGTTACCGAGGGGCTGTGGTTATCGTGCATCCTTATCACAAGTCTCTATTTTATTTACTAATATCAGAAGCGTTGTCAGAAACCGCACCGAAATTTCTTCTGCTATTGATTCTTGCTCTGCCGATATTGTCGTGTTAACAGAGACATGGCTTCACAGTAACATTCGTGAAAATGAAATATTCGATTTGTCCAATCAATTTCATTTCTACAGACGAGATAGGGAAACGAGGCAAGGTGGTGGTGTACTAATAGCGATTAAAAAGGAATTTGAGTCATTCGCACTTCATATTGCGTCATGCTTAGAGATTATATGGGTGTCTGTAAAACTAGCTCATTGTAGAATGGTTGTCGGGGTTTGCTATCGCCCCCCGAATGATTCCTCTAGCTTTGTTACTGAGCTCTATGATGCCATAAACATCGTTATCACACGGTACCCAACATCCCCTGTATTCTTGCTGGGTGATTTTAATTATCCAGGAATCAAATGGTCAACGTCCCCCCCTTCACTAAATTCGTCCTCGTCTGTTTGCCAGGAATTTATTGAGTTATGTTCATACTTTCACTTTACACAGATTATTTCCGAACCAACCAGAGTTACACCGACAAGTGCGAACCTGCTAGATTTGGTATTAACTACTTGTCCCGAGTTATGCTCAGAAGTAACATACATGCCGAAAATAAGTGATCACTCTCTACTAAATTTTTCTGTGACTATTCCTGTAAAAAAGTTTTCTAATAGAACTAAAGTGATACGTAATTATCCTAATGCTGACTTTAACCAAATCAATGATGAACTGTTTTTATTTCTACAAGCGTTTCTGAACGGGTTCGAAGCACGCTCAGTTGAATATAATTGGAAGCTTCTAAAAACGAAGATGACAGAGCTTGCTAACCGTTTTATTCCAGTTCGTGTAATCTGTTATAATCCGCAAGCGCCATGGTATAATTCATTTATCAGGCGCCTTTCCAATCGAAAAAAACGCATGTATAGAAGTGCAAAAACGTCTAGTGACCAACATCGATGGTCTCTATATCGTACCTCGGCTGATGAATATAATTCTGCAGTCAAATCGGCGAAGGAAAATTTTCTAACCAACACATTACCAAATATGTTGCTGAACAATCCAAGAAAATTTTGGAATGTAGTGAACCCGGCTGATAGTTCGCGAATTGTACTAACGAATTTGGACGGTGAACCAATTGATGACAAACAGTGTTCAGATACGCTTAACAACGTGTATTCCAGCGCTTTTTCGTGTGTTGTTTCTGACGTTTTTCCTTCATTTAGTAACCCTGAGTATTTACCCATGTATCCTGTGCAGATTGAGACTGATGGTGTTGCCAAAATTATTGACTCTCTCAAACCTTTCTCCTCCTCTGGTGTTGACTGTATTACTAACATGTTCCTAAAAAACACGAAAGCCTATACCTCTGTCGCCCTCGCTAAAATTTTTCAGCAATCCCTCAATTCTGGTGAGCTCCCGCAGGACTGGAAAATAGGGAGGGTGGTTCCCGTGCACAAATTTGGCGACAAGCACTCACCCTACAACTACAGACCCATATCAATCACTAGCGTTCCTTGCAAAATTCTAGAACACATACTTTTCTCCCATATCGCGAACTATCTGGAATCAAATTCTTTTTTTCACCGCGCACAGCACGGCTTTCGCAAATCTTTTTCGTGCGAGACACAACTGGCTTTATTCACCCATAAGTTGCAATCTATACTCGATAACCGATCATCCGCCGACTGTATATATCTGGATTTCGCGAAAGCATTTGATAAGGTATCTCACCAGCTCCTGCTACTAAAACTAAAAAAATAGGTATTGATATTAACATACTAAAATGGCTTGAATGCTTTCTCACACATCGTCAGCAATTTGTAACCGCGAATGAAGTCAGCTCTCTCCTTCACCCTGTAATATCTGGCGTACCCCAAGGTACTGTACTTGGGCCATTACTTTTCCTTGTCTATATTAACGATCTACCAAACTGTGTATCATCTTCGATTCATCTATTCGCAGATGATTGTGTTCTTTACCGGGAAATAACCTCTATCAATGACGTGCATGCACTTCAATCTGATATTGACGCTATCACTTCTTGGTGCAAAACGTGGCATGTGACACTAAATGTTAACAAGTGCAAATTCATGCGAATCTCTCGTTGTTCCGCTAACTTACCTTCATATCACCTTGATAGTAGTCTACTCGAAACTGTCGAATCATACAAGTATTTAGGCGTCCATATTGCTTCTAATCTTAGCTGGCAAATTCACATCGACTCCATTACTAACAAGGCTAACCGTATGCTTGGGTACCTAAAACGCAACTTTTACTCGGCCCCTACTTCTATTAAATTACTGTTCTACAAAACAATTGTGCGCTCACAACTAGAATATGCTTCAGCGATATGGGATCCTGGCATCGGAACTCTCGTTAATCAGTTGGAAATGATTCAAAATAACTCGGTTCGATTTATATATTCTAACTACCAACGAGCTGCTAGCGTATCCTCCATGAAATCTAACCTAGGTCTTTCTTCCCTAGCGTCACGACGCAAAAACGCACGACTTTGTTTGTTCCATAAAATTTTCCACCACACCACTTTACGCGGTGAACTGTTAACATCACCTTCATACATGTCGTCACGGATGAATCACCCACATAAAGTAGGAGTCATTTCATGCAACACTAATTCCTTTTTTTATTCCTTCATCCCACGCACGTCTAGTGACTGGAACCACCTTCCCTCTCTGATAGCCACTATTACTAATTATGATTTGTTTCAATCTGCCTTAAAAAATATATCTGATTGATTATTTAACTGTATTAGTAGAAGACGTTGTGTTTGCCGGTTTCAGGCTAGTGGACTATATAGTATCAAAGTGTATTAATCATTTGTAACCATTGTTTTTTTTTTATTTTCTTTCGTGTATGCTTTCCCAATTATTATTCCATTTTACTTATTGTATTTGCTGTACCACTCCCCTCTATAATGCTTCATGCCTTGAGGGTATTTATAAATAAAAAAAAAAAAGGGAGAAGAATATTGAGCCAAACCTTATTTATTATTTAATTATCCTTTAACTGTTACCAACTCTACTAAAACTCTCGAATATCAGGCAAAAGTTGCAAGGACGAAGCTTTGCTCTATCTTCGAGGTAAATAGCACTTCGATTGCTTCGCTGAGGAAGCTCAATACAGAGCATAAAACATTCATGAGGCACAATATGGCATTCCTTTCCAGTGCCTCAGTTCAAAAGTTGTTCAGCATAGCAGTCGACATCTTGAGTAAGAAATAACGCAAAATGTCTGACGAGACTTTCGAGAGTCAGCTGTTCTTCAAAATAGTCAAGGTCAATAAATGGAACAGTTGGCAACAATAAGAACTTGAGTAACCTTCTTTCCTTTGTTTCTTAAATGAGAAAAATAATGTTCGAAGTAAGGCCACGAAAGTAACAGATTACTTTTGGGGGTAAGGGTCACTTACTTTTATGGGAGGGTAATTGTAATTGTAATGAATTACAATTTAGCCTTGAGTAATTGTAATTGTAATAAATTACAATTTAGCCTTGAGTAATTGTAAATGTAATTCTTTATTAGTTTTCAGCAACGTGTAAAAGTCTGCTCCTGCTATCTATTTCAGACTGTACACGTATGTGGACGATGCTGACTGGGAAACTGCTTTTAAATGAGCTGACGTCGACTGTGCCGTCACTCGGCTGACATATATTGTAAAGTCTGCATTTCAGCGTTTTATATCGGTAAAGTAAATATCCGATGTGCATTTTCCTTGTGGTTCTCACGTGATCTCCGGCGGGAACTGAGCTTGAACTCGTTTAATCACAAGAGATAGAAATCGTCCAGCTTGGAAAAATAGCACTCTTTATTCAAGGAACATCGCTTTAAACGAAGGCGATTGA